ATAGCCAATGTATGGACCACCAACACAATTATTACCATTGCATCCATACAATAATCATGTAGCCAATATATGGATTACGAACACAATTATGACCACAGCTTACGTACAATAGCACATTTGATACTCTTTATTGCATTGATATTTCATTTTATCTGTTCTTCACTAAAACCTATCACCATATGGACACCTATATATTGCTGTCATTAATGGATTATATGGCAGTGAGTTGTAAACACATTATTATATACATGAATATTCTAAAATATATATCAAACTACTGACTATACAATTATAGTATACAATGATTGTACTACAGTCTAATACAGTCATGTTAACTTTTTAGCTCAGTGATTGTTATCTTAAATAAAGTAAATATAACCTGATTTTTGAAATTCTTGGTCTACATCTGGAGTCCTAATGAGCATATATAGCAATGTTCGTCTTAATATCTTAATTTGAAAGTCGGTTTAAACTATAATGTAGTTTTGGAACATATTATTCAAGAAGTTTCTTCATCACATTCAAGTAATAAATGCAGTCATCAAATGTAAGAATATTTTTGTCATGATTTTAAACTTATATAATTATAATAAATGCTCAAAATTCTTTTAATAATATATGTCAGCTAAAAAAACAGAAAATAATAATTTTGACATCATGGTATTAAATTATGTTGAGTTGCGTAGGTAATATTTAATAGATGATTAGAGAAAGACGTTCTTTAAATATTGTCAGTATTCCTGATGTACAGAAAGAAATATAATATTACAGTACATTACATTATAAAACATAGGAATGATCATTACACTGATGAAGTGTCAAAATGAGATTATTACATTTAAACCTAGCTGTGATTTAACTAAGACACATCTTCTTTCAACTTATTTGCTATTAAGATTTAAGAAACAGAACTACTACAAGAATAAAAAAGTAAAAAGATCAAGAAATAATAAAAATGATATTTTGGCAGTTTCCTTCATGTGTTCAATAAGATATTAGTATAATCAACAGTGTGATACATGTATGTCAATAGCACCACAGAGTGCCATAGACACATCAGTAACCATAGTGATATGTGAAGACTCCTTTCCACATGATTTACACATGTATGTCAAATGATCTGACCAATAACATCACAGAATGCCATGGTCTGAAGAAAGAAAGAACAAAGTTATTGGTTTATTCAACAAAATATGTAATACAAACAAATACTGGATATGCAAGGGCACTACAGTAATCGGATATGACTACTGTCCCTAAAATTGTGTGATATATCATGAATCTCCTTCACATATCACTGCACAACATCAACATTTTCACTACCAGACTTTCTCAACCAAATTTGTATATACTTTTTTTGCTAATATTCAATATTTCTGGAAATGAATCCTAATTGTGGAGCCAACAGACAAAATTTGAGTCAATTTTCAGTTTTTACTATAAAAAAATTTGGCAATTTTTGTCCAAATCTTTTGTAAATTTGTAATGAAAAGAGGGAACTGGTGGTGAAAAGATTATTAATGTACGATGGATATGTTATCATAAAAGTAAACAAATATGTAAAATAATAAAAATAAAAGAATATCAACTTTGAAATATACAATTAAAAAAAATGATATGATTACATATCAATGAAATGTACTTTTTGTCCATTTTTGACACAACTCTTGAGACTTCTCACAGGCTATTATGGATTGACTTCTTGTTATGGAAGTATTCAACTGAATGCATAGAGGGAGTAAGCAACTTGCTTGTCATATGCGTTAAGACATCAGTGTTTTCTTGAATCATTGTATTGAATTATTATTATACTTGCAGTATGTGTTAAGAGTAGAAACAACAACATACATGTACTTCATACTTAGACCAGTACTCAAGGTAATTAAACCAAAACACATACACACATTATATGTATATCCATCCAAAGAACAATCATGATGGCCAAAGACGTATATTGTTGCCATGGTAATATGTAACATCAAAGCAGTATGAGCAACTATTCACAAGAAAATTACTCAAAAATGCTTTTGGAATGAGGATAAGGATAAGCATTCTTAATCTGTCTAGACAGACCACAGGGAAATACTGGTGTTTTACATTTAATAATGTATATGGTAAACAATGTGGTAACTGACTACACAGCTCAGCCTCTCTCAATATGTAAATAAGACACCAACCAATCAGAACAGATTGTGGACAATCAAATGGTTCTATCAACCAATGAAATCTGATCAGCTGAATATTGTTTTCTTTAGATGACACCACCAGGTCCAGCCAATGAAGTCTCTCCCATCAAAAACAAATCTACTTGACGTGCTGCTTGGCGTCCCTCGTTAATGGCATGTACCACCAAAGATTGTCCACGCCTACAATCTGGAAAATAAAATAACAAAAAATTGAAGTAAACTATATTCAAATGTTTTAAAACTGGTTTGATTTCACACAACCACAAGATGTACATAGCACTCAAATTGAGTCAAATATTGGCCCTGTTCACCTTATGCTTAAATCTGAGTATTTATAATAACCACTGGTTATATTTCACATAAATGATTGCACATAAAGAATCCATGAGATTCTGTGTAAATTCTGATATCCACATACCTCCTGCAGCAAAGACTTTATTCATACTACTCAAGTATGTGCCTTCTGGTGTCTGTATATTAGACCTAGGGTCCTGGTTTAACTTGAGTTCATTTATAATACTGTTTTCTGGTCCTAAAAATCCCATAGCAATCAACACCATGTCAGCAGGGAAGATTCTCTCAGTTCCCTCAATTTTCTTCATTTCAAATCTTCCTCCAACTCCTTTAGTCCACTTGATTCTCTGTGCCTTAATGCCTTTTACGTGACCATTCCCATCATCCAAAAATTGCTGCAAACAAATAAAGAATTAGCATTTATTAATCCGCCATTTTGAATTAGAACTTATGTGAAACATGTACAATGTTCTCCCCTGGATACAAACTGTATGGCTGCTCTGAGAAATTGCCTTGCTAAAAATCATTACTGCCATGATTGATTTCTACACCTTCTGCCCCTGTTGGTTTTTTATTTATACAGGTATTGAGACTTGTGCTTGCTGTTCTTTTAGGCCATGAAGAATAACCAACAGAAGTCAAAAACATGCTAAGTTTATTTGGGTTGGTAATGTTGAAAATAAATCGTGAATGAAATCGTTTAAACAAATTTTTAACGTGCTTTTCCATTGTAGCTGGTTTATTGGAATCGGTAAAACATCACAAATTCAAACAGTTTGTATGCTACTTTTATCGATCACACCACGACTGATATCTTGAGAACAAAAATCGTTTAAAGAAATGCTGATTCCAATGTTGAAAATAAAACTTTTTATGAAAGTACTAATGACTGAAACATTGATGAAATCAGAAAATTGTTGCAGGCTTCACGTAAGGCCAGGAAAACTTAATGTCAAAAATGTCAACTTGCTTTCTATCATGGCTGGTAATCTCTCGGCCTACCTTATTCACAGACTGCAGTCTAACTACCGTTGAGGGCGTTTAATCATAACACTAAGTTGAGAGAACTGAAATACTGCATTCTGGGTAGATACTTTTGTTAGAGTTAACAAACAAGGCTGCCATGATGGTTTACGATCATCGTAACCTTCAATTTACACTATGGGTAGGTATATTTTTTACAGTTCATATTTTGAAATTATTTTTGCACAACAAATAGCAGATGAGTACTTTATAATAATATTGATTTTTTAGATTTACGCCACGAGTCAGGTTTTCATTCTGAATTGTAAAAGTCATGCACGTATGAGGTTTGTATGGTCAGGGCATGTCAGTGATATGGTTTGAAACAGCATTTTAATAAAACAAAAAGGTTACCATTCACCATCTCACATCAGAGCATGAAACAAATAGACGTGTACCCCAAGAAGCATGATGTATGTGTGCTTTGAATATGATCACTCCAGTCATGTCTGATGAGAAATAGATGGGGATGCACAAACACACAAGTTTACAAATTTTTAGAACTGCGTTTGAAAACTAATTAGCATGCAAATGTCCAGTGTCTCTATATCCTGAGATAAATTATTACTAACAAAGCCTAAATTAATGTCAGAGTGGAAAAACGATTAGCTTTAAAACATCATTTTTATTTCCTATATTTAATCGCCATTAATGTCAACATTGGCTACAAAGACTTGGTTAAACTTGTGCCCTGTACGTCTGTGAATATATGTTAAGTCAGAATATTATTTTGACATAATCTATCAGGTACAAAGCACCAACAAGGTAAAACAAATCAACAACCAAAGGACTTACCTCACTGAGTATACAGAAATGTCTGGGATCTTCTCCAAACTTCAATTTGGATTCTTCATGTCCATAGTCAACACGGAATATACGTGGCCATGTTGGCCATGGATTGTTCTCAGCTCTCCCTACAGGAGGCTCATCTAAGATTTCAAAGGTTGTTATACTTTTAGCACCCTATAATATACAATGAGAAACACATTAGCTGGCTCCAGTTTTCAAAAAAAATTACACCTGCATCACAGCGATACACAGAGAGCTAATCCTGTTATAGTAAAATCATCAAAACGTCTTAGAATTTGATAATTTATATGTATACAGCTACCAGTATGTAATAACTTACCATTCTCAGTGATGTTCCAATGCAGTCACATCCAGTATCACCACCCCCAATAACAATGACGTCTTTATCTTTAGCATCCAGATACACATTATTATTGCCCATCTGGTTCTTCTGCCATCCTTCTAAGAATTCCATAGCAAAGTGAATACCCTCCAAGTTATGTCCTGAAGATATACACCTATGTTACTACATATAACTCACTAATTACTAGGAGTAGTGTATAGTGGTCTGTGTAAGGCGAAAAACAAAACAAAACTTATGTTGCCCTCAAGTCGGAAAATTGAGTCAGTCGGTTGGATTTTTTTTTTTTTAAACTCGTGAAAACTAAGGGTATCGTAAATAGCAGAGGTATATGGGAATCAATCAAACGCATGCTAGATATTAAACACAAAAATCAAAGTGTTTCTTTCAGTCTTTTATATTTAAATACACATCAACCTGAGACGGGATTGTTAATATTTAGAGGAAATACATTTTTACTGCTTAAAATGGTGAGTTTTCAATATTTGGGTCTATTAAAAAAAAAAAAAAAAAAAAAAAAAAAAAAAAAAAAAAAAAAA